CGGAACGATCAAAGAAAATGAAAGAACAAAAGAAGAACGAAGCGAGCGTCCTTGTTGCGGAATCCGCTTACAATACACAAAATGCACAGTTTGGCCTCGTAATAAAATTTTGGCGTTTTTTGACACTTTTTTTGACATTTGGGCTCCATAGAAAATATCAGAACTTCGACAGCCTGTTAAAGCCTGTGGAGCAGCATTAATATGAAGGTAATAAAATGAAATGAAGTTTTTCTAAATATGAGATTTTTTAAGCAAACATCCCTCCACACGCCATATAAAGTCCAAAGTAATAGATTTTGTTTCTAGTAACAAAGCAATTATGCCTCGTAATAAAATTTTGGCGTTTTTTTGACACTTTTTTTGACATTTGGGCTCCATAGAAAATATCAGAACTTCGACAGCCTGTTAAAGTCTGTGGAGCAGTATTAATATGAAGGTAATAAAATGAAATGAAGTTTTTCTAAATATGAGATTTTTTAAGCAAACATCCCTCCACACGCCATATAAAGTCCAAAGTAATAGATTTTGTTTCTAGTAACAAAGCAATTATGGCAAGTAAGCTTCCGTCAACCAATTTGGAACAGTTTCTAAGACGGAATAAATCTCCGCTTACGCGTTATTAGAGCGAAATATATCGCGCTTTTATTGTCCCAAATTGACCACAATCGAAAGATTAAAACCCCCATAATTTCACGAAAAAAGATCAAAAGTGAAATATCTTTTCAAGTTCAAGCTCGGGAAAACAAAACCCTTTGAATGACATTTAGAAAAAATCCAGCAAAATTGGCTAGTTGAAAAGTCGAAATTTATCCGAAGAAAAAAACACCCCGAGCATAAATATTCCGTTACTTTCATTACGAAAGTCGGAACAAACACGCCAGTGACCCTTTTGAGTAAGATTATGAGGGTTTGAATTGCTAACCGAGATGTTAGAACGCATTGTTTTTCGTTCTTGATATATGTGAAAGCGGCAGATTAAATTGTTCCAAATTGAATTGAGGCAAACTTCTTTTGTCTTACTATAAGGATACAAGAGGCTAAACACACTCCTTTGTCCTTTATATTTGGTAGTGGGAGAAGAGGAAGAAAAACCGAGAGTATTGGACGGTGTTTAATAGCATTGGTGGGGAAAAACAAGATGACGATTTTAAAAAAGTTTTCTTTTTGTTAAAAGTATTCAGAGCATGAACTGTCAAATGTAATAGCTTTTTGCGATGAAAGTAGAAGTGCTAAAAAAGAAGTTTTTCTAGTTAAAATTAATTTTTATAGAGAAATCCAATACATTTTTAAAGTTTTCCTTCAATGACGTAGTCTTGATTTTTCTCACTGGCGTTTTTTGTACTTGAAGTAGTTTTTGATAAAAACGTTGAAGATTTTGAAAAATTGTTACCCATAAATGTCAAGTGAAGATTGATAAGTTCTGCGTTAATTAACGCTATATTTGCATCTATTTGCTGAGCTCAAGTGTATTTGGAAGGATACCTGAGCTCTTAAAAGCTACGTACGATTAGACAAAAAACACACCTCAAAACTACAATTAGATTTAAAAAAACACACCCCAAAGCTATACGATTAGACAAAAAAGCGGCTGGTAACTTTTCATTATCGCAACTTCGCCAATTTGGCAGTTTTACAACTCCCAAAACTTAACAAAACACAAGGTCAATTATTTTTTGACATCAGATTCAGGGCAAAAAAAGGTTGGGGTGAAGGGGTAGTGAATAACAGTGAAAGGAACGTCCAACCCCGCCTCTTACCCTATGTCGGAAACCCTAGTTTACTTAAAACTTCAGGCAACAACTTCCGAAAAAAACTTAACTTGAAAGTTCTAAAATTTTTGAAAAGAAAAGGCCTCGAAAACAATTTTTTGCTTTTTTCCACAAAAACTAAAAATATAAATATATATTTTTTTTGCATGACACAAGCATCAATTTACAAAAAAATTTCATTTAGGTTGATTTTAAGGGTGCCCAAAACAACATCATTTTTTCAAAATTTTGGTAGATAATAACGGACAAGTTTAGATTTAACTATCTAAAAAAACAGTAGGCATAAAAACCAGAGAAGACTCTGGCTGCTATTTCAAGCCATTTTATGCCCTTCCTTTTATATTCATAATTAGTGTTAGGGGCAGATGTAGGATTTTGTCGAGAGGTTGATGGGCGTTTTTTCAAAAAAAAAAAAACATTTTTTACTTCATTTATCGACCAACGAGCGAACTGATTTTGTGCGCTCTCCCAAATCAACATATCTAATCACCCTATTTTGACAAAATTTTTCACTTTTAGGCACTTTTTGTAATTCTTTGACCAAAAAATTGCGTTTTTTGGTGCGTTTCTTCTTCAAAATCAGTATATATTGGTGCCAAAGTTCATATTGCCACCTTAAGAAATATTTTAGAGTCGGTCAGACAAAATTTTTGAGAGGTTCAGCCAGCCAAAACTTAAGCTTTAGGGTTGGTCAGTCGCATTGCTGAGAATGCTGCTATTTTAATCTATTATAATTACTTTTTGGGACCAGGCGCTCGATTATAATCCATTAATTAATGGTTTATAATAGATTGCAATCTCTATAATGTTCTTCCAAGTTATCAGCAAAGTTTGCAATTTTGTCTGTATTACAGCCAACTTGTTTTGTAAACCTATACGAATATAATTAATTTTTGCAAAATCATGTATCTCGCAGTTAAAACTCAGATCTTCTCAATATTAACACCCAAGTTGAACATACACAAAGTTTTACCCACCCACTCCTCGCATCTATCCGCACACTTACTCCCACCTCCACCTAAACTTCCCACCTACCCCCACCAAACCTACCCCCAGACCTACCCTTACACGCACCGAACCTCCCTCCTCCCACAACGACTTGACAACCCCTGTAAGTTTGTATGTGTGCGGGGTTGCGGTCACGCGTTTACGCTATTTTTTACGTATTTTTACGGTTATAGCAAGTGAGGAGTAAGTGACGGGGGAGGGGAGGGGAGGTGGTGGTAAAAGAAGGGAGTAGAAGGTGGTAGTTAGCGTAAGTAATTAGGGGGAGAGTGAGAAGTAGAAAACAATACACATTTTTGCTGTAGTCAATTTTGAAACACAATTTAACCATTGCAGTATTTGAAATTTTATTTAAAAAACCTAGGCTCTTACTCTTAAAAGTCCATTGTAACCGACTATTTAATATTTTTATGGAGACACGAAAATCTATAATAATCGAGTATTATCCATGAAACTTCATCGCCGGTAGAATTTGCTAGATATTTTCCTCCCCCACCCCTCACTTCACACGAACATCATTTTTTTTGCATAACAGTTGGTATTGCAAGGTTAATTATGAAGACCAATGATGTTAGTCATGGCTTGTTTAGTCCTCGTGTCTTTTTTCATAACAATCGGACAATAATTTTTGTCACAACAATCGGACAAAAAATTTAAACATTATTTTAGTTAGTAAAAAAAAAGCAAATGTGGGGATGAAGAAGAGTCCCCCCAACTGCAAAATTGTAGCCACCCCATCTAGATGAATTACACAAAATCAAATGTTGTATAAAACCAAAAGCCTAATTTTTCCTTTCTTATCAAATTATTGCATCAGAATTCGTTTTTTTAAGAAACTTAGATTTGGTTTACTACTCCCAATAGTACCTAATAACAATCACCAAATTTACCGATTGTATTAAACAGCTATGCATATGCGAATTTTGTACCTTGTCCAATTTGCAAAATAGTTAAAAAGTCCGAAAATTAAAACAGAATTCCAGATCTTTCGTTCTTACAAAGTAAATAATTATATTGGCTCATACAAATTATCGCAAAATTGGCTCTTCTAAATCCCTTATCTTTCAAATTATTATTTTTAGCCAAGTTATTTTATTACGGCTAAACGAGTGATGTTATTATGTGAAGTATAAAGAACAAATCTATCTGTTCACAGTCTGTTCGCCAACTTTCATTATATTATGACGTAAAAGAAGTTGTTCAAAATTGAATTTAAAAGGGAGAGTAGAAAAGAAGCCAGATTCTTTTAAAAATTTTGATTTGCACTAATTCCAGAGTTTTCTGGTGATTTGTTGATAATATAAGAAAATACCTATTTTGAAGGAAATAAGAGAAAAATTATTTCTAGGATCTTTTGGTGATTTATTGATAAATAAGAGAAAACTTATTTTAAAGGTAACATCATCTGAGAAGTTTGCTTTGCTGAGTTAATATGACAGCTGCCTCTTAAAATTTTGATTGGATATTTTTGCCGAGAAATTGTATCATAGTTGAAAAAAATTGCCAAACAAATCCTTTCCAAGTGCTTCTGAATTGCATCTAATCTTGTTGTCTAAAAACAACATGTAACAGCAGCATCCGCAATTTCAAGGGGAGGAGCTTAAATATAAAACGCCTCTCTGTGATTCGTAGAGGATCTGGGAAAACCTTGCAGTATGTCTAAGCATAGCCCGTTTCTCTTATTTCCCAAACTCCAGTCTGAGGTATTATGTTCAGCATAGCTCTTTTTTGCGGCTCAAGCCTGGTTTTTGCGTCTAAAACTTTCGCGTGATACCTTGCAGTCGTTATCTGTCAGGCTATGATAGACCTGCATCTAGATGTTACGTGAGAGTGAGAGATCGTCCTTACTATTATTGCCATGGCAGGGGATTGATCACGCAAGCTGATGATCACAAAGTGAACGCCTTACCACTATGCTACGTGCCTCATGGGCGAAGCTTGAAGTTTTATTAACTAATTTTAAAAAAAGTTTCAATTGTCAATTCGAAAAACTTCTGAAAGAAGAAAACTCTTGGTAAGTTTTCTGCGGAGTTTAACCAAACCAAATTTTTGGAAATAAGCTTTCAAAACTCTTCTAAAACCGATGTCAGATCGCCCTCATTTCATCAGAATTGTTCAAAAATGCTCTCAAAAATAATTATTCCAAAGTGCCCACAAAAAACATTCTACAAAAAACAACACACTTATTGCTTCTTAACCGGTTGGTTATTATCTTTTATAACTGACCTGGGACTTAGACTGACTATTAAAACCAGGAGATTCATTAGGATTCCACTCATGCACACGATAAAGAGGATAATCAAGTAGAGCCAGTGCTTGTCGAAGTCCGGCACCCTGTCTTCCCGGAACGGTTCACAGTCCATCTGGAAATAAGCAAACACAAACCCAATAAAAGACTTTTTTTTAAAAGTTTTTTTTTCAAAGTACAATTCTAGAAATTTTTAAACTGTTTCGACTGTTTCCATAAATTTTTCGACATTTATGAAATAAAAATATTGTCATATTGTTCGAAAGAAAAAATTGCATAAAAGATTGATGGCTAGCTTAATTTTGATTCATTTTATTTTAAAAGCTTATGGAAATGTGTAAAAATCTTTCTCATTAATGAAAACTGTTGATCTAGTATTTTCTCGAAGATTTATATTTGAAACTTAACGCAATAATTGTTCAGACTTTCGAAGAAACACGCAAACACATATCCTTTAGTTGATTTTTTGATCTTTCCAATTTAGGCGATCGAAGTCCAATTTTTTTAGAAATTTTTTTCTACTCCATTTAAGATATCGATTCCCTGAGTTCAATTTAATAGGATGTTATATTTTCGGTTAATTTTTTGTGCAGTTCTGGGGGTTGGAAGATAGCTCTGTACAAGTATGTGCGCACTGTGAAGATTTTTTTATGATGCTGAAAGTGAAACGCTGTGTATTTATGCGTCGCAAATTTTCCCGAACTGCAAAACTGCTCCATGTTTGACTGAGGCAAGCTAATCGGTTGTAATAATTTTTGTACCACTCAAGTTTTCACTTCTGACGTTTGTCCAAAATTTTTGGTTTTTTCACAAACAATTATTGCATATCAGTTTAGAGACACTCGGAACTTTCAGGGTTTTCACGAGAATTTCATAATTTAGATTTTTTTGTTAACTGCGTTTCCCATAATTACTTCTCAAAATCAGAACAGCTGAAAAGATGCGCTTAAAGCTTCTCACTCTAAGACGTACATGTGCCTGTTAATATTTTTTTTGGAACTTTTGATCTTCTCTTGTTCTTTTGTTTTTATAAAAAACAACATTTAAAAAAAAACTTATCTCAACTTTATATCCTCCACAGACTGGTACTCTTTTCTATTTTCTATATCTTTTCTATTTTTATACCTCCAAAACAGCACACCAGCGTAATAATGAAAACAAATTGCCTGCCTCAGTTCCGCCGCTTACGCCGCTTACGTTTTCAAATAAATAGGACAACATATATTGAGCGCTAATTATCCAAATTTTAACAATAGCAGACAACTGGCAAAAAAAACCAAACCGGTATATTTTCGCAAAAAAAAAGACAAAAAGTGAAAAAATTTTGCAATTTGATTTCTGGATTTTTTTCAGATGGTAATAAGCAAATCCGTCAAAAACTGCTAGCCATAAAGTCGAAAAGTTGTCATAAGAACCATATGTGAGTAGATCCTGTCGAAAATGAACCAAACAATGGCGCCCAGGAACGCATTTTTGCATAGTTTTTACCTTGTAAATCTGTTTAATATGGTGTTTCTGTGCGCCATCGATTAGTTATTTTTCAACAGGATCGGCTCATATATGATTCCTATGGTGGCTTCAAAAGATGGTTTTAATGACGAGCGAAGAATTTACAATATATAAGTAGTGTTTTGAGATGTTCCATATCCGTTGTTCAAGATGTTTTGAATTAATTTTTTATAGAATATCTGAATGCAGAGACTTTCTGAATGCTAAATACGACTTGGATGTGGATACTGGTCTCGACAGCTGATTGAATGTTGATCTCGTCTGGCAGCGATTTTCATTTCATGTTCTGTTGTTTTTTAAGAAAAAATTTTTAGGCTCCCCCTCGGCGTAGTCCTGATAAGATTAGAAGGTTTAAGCTGTCTCAATTTTGCGGAGAATTAGTGGAAGTCGAGTTTCCAACCTTAATGTTTATCGATATTCTCCATTGTTCAGAGATGGCACGCTTCATGAGCGGGTCTTAAATCTACTTGCCTCTAATCTACTTGCCAGGTTTCAACAATATAACAAGCTTTCCATCCAGTTTTATAATTTGAAAAAAATCTCCTTCATACAATTTCATAGTATGGAAGAAATGCTTATTATACAATTTCATAGTATGGAAAAATGCTTGTCATACAAATTCATAGTATAGAAAAAATGATTATCATACAATTTCATACTATGGAAAAACGCTTATCATACAATTTCATAGAATGGAAAATATTTTTATCATGCTATTTTCATACAATTTTGGGCATAAAGAGACTGATGAAAAAGCTTAAATATTAATTTCAGAGTATGGAAAAAATGCTAGCTTTAAAATTTCATAGTATGGTAAAATGCTTATTTTGTTATTTTCATACACTTAATTTTGGTCTATGATTTTGTTTGAAGGAGTATAACAAGCATTTTTTTCATATATAAAAATTGTATGACAAGCATTTTTTGTCAACCCGGTATTCGAGCAGGAACCAGATTGTTTTCAAAAAATTTTGGAGGCAAACAGATGAAAATGTGCTGAGCAACTCTAAACGTCTCCTAATTACTACGTTATACAATCAATGTTGACAAACTAAAGAACTTGTTTTTATTGTGAAAATTTCATGAAAATTACGTGTTTTGGCTTACCCACACGTTTGTTTATTGCTACAGCAGCTTAATTCGCTCGCACTTATAAACCCAAAAAATCCACGTGTGATCCTATTTTACAACCCGGGTTGACCTCCTTACACCGAAAATGGTTATCAAAAAACTCCATACATCGAGTGCATAGAACAATGCTTGTCATACAATTTTCGTAAAATTGCGAAAAATAGTTGAAAAAAGATATAAACTGAATTCTGCGGCTGTTTGATTTTTACAAAACAGTCTGGTGATGAAAAAACCGAGGTGTTTGTTTTCGAAAAAAATGATCATTATACAATTTTCATATACGGAAATTGTATGACTAGCAGTTTTTTGATCGCAACACAAAAATGTTTCCAAGTAATTTTGAAATTGCTCCAAAATTTGTTTTGGTTTTTTTTAAACTCAAATCAAATTTTGAAATTTTGCACTCAAACAAAAATGTAGTTTTTTGTGTGCATAAGGTCCTGGATACACTAATGTTAAAACTTTTTCCTTTTCGCTTAATAGCCTTTTCAAAACGCTAAAAGCTCCTATTTTTTTGTATAGCAGGTTTATGTATGTCTTGATCAATATCTGACAATTTAAAAATTCAATTTTTAAAACAAATCATCAATAAAAAATTTGCCAAAATTTTAAAATTTGTTGTTTACGTTATATCATTCGTGAAAAACAGCTCCAAGACAATTTAGGTTGTTTTATATGCATTATAAATGCACGACCAGTCCAACCTTTAGTGCTTTGAGTAACCATTGTGTTTGTAACTTGCGTTCGGTTACGATCACAACCCAAAGTTTTGCAGAAACTAATTTTAGAAAATAAATCAACTTTTTCGTTCTATTTCATATCTGGAAAATTGCTTATCATAGAGATTTCATACAATTTTCTGTTTGCATGGAATTGTATGAAAGTTTTCATATTTGTAAATTGTTTGATGAGAAATTTTGGTCAACCCGGAAAGTTTAGAATGTTAAAAGCGCACAGTCCAGCCTGCAAACATCTGAGGTAAAATATGCATAATTTATGCGGTTTGAGTTCTGGTTGGGTCTATTTAAATTTGGGCTAGTTTCTATATAAAATACGAATTCTTGTGCTAAACGAGCAAATTTGTATATAAGTTTTATGATTTTATAATAGCAAATGCATGTTGATCTTTTTTAACATATTTTTTTGCGTTTTTTGTCTCTCAAATAGTCATTCGGAACACAACTCATCAAAATTTCAAAAAAAATTTTGGACTGATAACAGCAGACCCTTGAAGAATCTGAAAAAAAATCAAAAATTATTGGAGATATTTCTCCCAAATAATCTTGTCTTGTTTATTTTGGATCTCCTTAACTGTTTGCTCCTGAGGCAACTAGATACCAATTGCCGCCCCTTTAAAAACTAAAACAACGATTAAGTGATAGTGAAATTCGTTTTTAAAACACTATCTGAAAAATCGAAACAATTTAATTGAATTTTTTTAAAAAGCGTCTCTTTTATAACATCCATTTTAAGTAGACCCATTCAAATTGTTTTCTCAAGACACCTCTGGGGTCATTAATCAAAAATTTTGTAGATAATATTTGATAACGCAGAAAAAAGAATTTAACTTTTAGTCTAACCTGTTCCAAAAAAGCTGAAAGCGCAAATTTCTACTGCAAACTATCTGCGGTGCATAATATTTTTTCTCTAAACCTTTTCATCATGAAAATTCTAAGGATTTTTTGGCAAAACTTGAGTTTGGTATACAGTCCCGGAATCTAGTAGAAGCAAATTTTTGACTTCACAAAGAAAGAATTTTCAGTCCGACTTGTTTTTGCTTATCATTCAGCTGTTCAAAGCTACAGTGTTGAAATTTGAACGCAATAGATGAAACTATTCGGTAGGAGCAAGCAGTTACAAAATTTGAAAAAACTTTTTGACTGTGCCGAAGGTTATTACATTATAATTTGTCTCGAAAGATTTCTTGTTGAGGAAACTTCTTCGCAAATAAGTCAAGGAAATTGGCTGAAAAAACTAAGTTTTCTAGAAACTGATGAGATGGATTTAGATGATACGGACAAAAAAAAGCCTTGAGTGCTTAATATCTTATACCTAATAGTATTCAATGTTTGACGGAACAGTTTGCTGTCGGCTGGTTTCGATCATCAGCGCAAAATAACTCGAAAATTTTTCACCGTTAGTTGAAATCGGATCAAGTATTTCATTCATTTTTTTTTTGTCTGTCGTTTTACCGCAAAATAAAAAGTAAGGCTAACTCATCACTTTGCCACAAAAATAATTTGTGCCCGTAAATTCAAACTCTCGTAGACTCAAGTTTCCACAGCAAGAACACTTCTGAAACTAAGTATGATATAATGGCTACTTTTGGCCTTCTAAACAAAAATTCTAGCTTCTCCAATTTTGATCCAGCTGCCTCCTGCTAAATCCCGGGTCGAGGTGCTCGATTTACGTTTCGACTTTCTCGACCAAAAATTTGTACATTTCAACCATCTCGGCCAAACTCCGGTCTGTGCTCCACCTATGTTTTGACTGCGCTTGACCTAAGTTTCGACTCTCTTGAGCTAAATCGGGTATTTTTCGATTTTTCGCTTGTTTTAAAATTACTTCTCGATCGCGGAACATTAGCCCTAAAACTGCACGAGCTCAAATTTTCGAGTCAAAAATAAAGTTGAGCACCTCGACCCGGGATAGTTTCATCTAGTCCGTGTTGAAATTTTAACCATGTCGCTTGACTGAGTACAGAGAAAACGACAAAGCCGTGAAGAAAACATTTGAAAGCCGAGCATGTGCAGTTTTGCGACTGAAATTCCTCGGTAAAGAAGCAATTTTAAGCCTAACTTAAAGTCATTACATACGAATTTTTGGTCAAAGAAGTTGAAAAGTAGCCCGAAAGTGTCAAAACCTAGGACGAGACAGTCGAAACATACCTGATTTTGGTCAAAAAAATCAAAAGAAAGGCCGAAAACCCATTGTTTTCGATTTTTTTTCAAAAATTTCAGTTAAATTCTCAGCGGCAACTGAGCAACACAAACTGCTCATACATGAAGTCCGTCAGAAAGTTGTGATCCGCAACAATCAATTGACAAGATTTGCTTACCGCAAAACTAAAGATTTCAGAAGGAATCTTTTCAGTTTTGGAAATCTAAGGACTAATGCTGCAAAAAAAAATAATTTTAACAAAAAATTCCTCAAACATCAATTTTCACATCAACAGTTTCAGATCAGATTTGTAAAAAAAGCAAAACTGGGAGATTTCGATGGAAAAAATTTTCGATGAAGAAAGTTGGCATTTTACAAGATTTTATAGTTTTTTTTTCATATCAAGCATCATCACAAAAATCAACTGAAAAGCATACATTATACTTTTTGTCAATTTACTCATTTCTTTCAATAGTATAAAAAGATCAAGAAAGACGAAACAGGTGTCGAGTTTTAGTCGACAAGTCAAAACTTAAGTCAAGAAAGTCAAAAAGGTCTCGAGAAAGTAAAAACATACGACGGGAAAAGTCAAAACAAGGTCGAGCATTGTCGAAAGATAAGTAAAACACTATCAAAACGTACTCATTTTCGATCAAAAAATTCAAAAATCGGACGAGCACAGTCGAAGAAAAAGTCGAGTTGGTCGAAACAAAGAGTCGAACACAAATTTACAGCACAGTCGAACTCAAAGTCGAAACAAGGAATCTTCAGAAGGAATCTTTTCAGTTTTGGAAATCTAAGGACTAATGCTGCAAAAAAATAATTTTAACAAAAAATTCCTCAAACATCAATTTTCACATCAACAGTTTCAGATCAGATTTGTAAAAAAAATTAAAAGCAAAACTGGGAGATTTCGATGAAAAAAAGTTTTCGATAGGGAAGTTGGCATTTTACAAGATTTTATAGTTTTTTTTCATATCAAGCATCATCACAAAAATCACCTGAAAAGCATACATTATACTTTTTGTCAATTAACTCATTTCTTTCAATAGTATAAAAAAATAAAGAAATTCGAAACAGGTGTCGAGTACAGTCGAAGCATATCCATGTTTAGTCGACAAAGTCAAAACTTAAGTCAAGAAAGTCAAAAAGGTCTCGAGAAAGAGGAGACATAAATCGGGAAAAGTCAAAACAAGGTCGAGCATTGTCGAAAGATAAGTAATACACTATCAAAACGTACTCACTTTCGATCAAAAAATTCAAAAATCGGACGAGCACAGTCGAAGAAAAAGTCGAGTTGGTCGAAATAAAGAGTCGAACACAAATTTACAGCACAGTCGAACTCAAAGTCGAAACAAGGAATCTTCAGAAGGAATCTTTTCAGTTTTGGAAATCTAATTTACAAAAATTCCTCAAACATCAATTTTCATATCAACAGTTTCAGATCAGATTTGTAAGAAAAAAATAAAAGCAAAACTGGGAGATTTCGATGAAAAAAAAAAATTTAGATGAAGGAAGTTGGCATTTTACAAGATTTTATAGTTTTTTTTCATATCAAGCATCATCACAAAAATCAACTGAAAAGCATACATTACACTTTTTGTCAATTTACTCATTTCTTTCAATAGTATTAAAAAATCAAGAAAGTCGAAACAGGTGTCGAGTACAGTCGAAGCATATCCAATTTTAGTCGACAAAGTCAAAACTTAAGTCAAGAAAGTCAAAAAGGTCTCGAGAAAGAGGAGACATACATCGGGAAAAGTCAAAACAAGGTCGAGCATTGTCGAAAGATAACTAAAACACTATCGAAACGTACTCACTTTCGATCAAAAAGTTTAAAAACCGGACGAGCACAGTCGAAGAAAAAGTCGAGTTGGTCGAAAAAAAAAGAGTCGAACACAAATTTACAGCACAGTCGAAATCAAAGTCGAAACAAAGAGATGAGTCGGTCGAAACAACCATTAGCAAAATATCCATCATAAAAGTATTTTAAAAGTGCAGTTAGCTAGAACAGCAAATTTGCTGATCATATACAAGACCGCAATGAGAAGGCCTGCACATGGCCCCAAAAAATATAAAAGCATTTTTTTTAGGCAGCGGCAAAACCGTCAATCAAAGTCAGACTTTTTTTCGGTCAAAAGTCTTCTCGATTGAAAAAACTCCTCCGTCAAATTCAGTCAAAAAGTTTGTCCTCAGTTGAACTTGATCGAAACGTTTTTCCTCGATCGAACATAGTCTAAACATAGGCAACTTGGGTCGAGTCGTTCAAAACATATCGAGCCTGACTGGAGACGGCTGACAGCACATATCAAAGTTTATGAAGCATGCATGATTTTGGTCGAAAATAAATTGCAAACATCAACACGGGTAGCGGGGTGTTTTCAAAAGTGTGATTTTCTTGTAGTTTCTTTCTAAGTTATGCGCAACTTCTCCGAAGCAAAAATTAGTTGGAGTCATTCAGGGTCTTCCTTCTGAAGGGTTTCCTCGAGGAAGGCTTACTCCTGGTAGTTTCAGGGCTTCTTCCTGATACAGAAAACCTTGCTGTTCTGGCCATCGAAGAAAACTTTGGAATTTTTTTTGGTCGTGAAGTCGAGACAGTCGAAACATACCTATTTTCGATCGAGACAGTCGAAAGCTATCTATGCAAGGTCGATCAAAGTATTATTTTTTTAAGACAGTCCAGAAAATTAAACATATCGAACTTTGGTTGAGAAATTCAAAACATATCTGAACTGGGTCGAGCAAAGTCGAACACTTTTTTGTTGGGTCGAGAAAGTCGAAATATGCCAAAATTGGGTCGACAAAGTCAAGACATAGCGAAACTTGGCCGAGAAAATCAAAATATACAGAAATTTAGTCGAGACGGTCGAAACATACCGACTTTTGGTCGAGAAAATCGAAACATAAATCGAGCACCTGGGCCCGGGTTGCTCGTTGAATTACAAGTTTTAGAACACAAATAAACATCAATTGATTATAACCAACCTTCCTTGATGTGTTTTTCAGAATGTGTTGCAGACAAGCTTCGTATAAAGTCATATTTCTTTCTAGAATGTAACAATGGTACTTGGCTCTTTGAGCGTTTTTCGTCAATATTAAGAAACCATGACATTTGGGGTACACAAAATCGTTCATTTTTAGATAATTAATAATGAGTTCTAACCAAATACTATAACTATCGAAGAATGCTTGCTAATGGAGTCAAATCGAATACTATGAAGGAATAAAGCGATCTTAATGTTCTGTAAGAAAACTCACATTTGAGTTAAAATGAATTCGTCCAAAGGTAGGGCGGAAGTTCTTTTGTAGGTTAGGTTTCACAGGAGTGAAATAGCAACAATATCCTAAATCAGACTACCAAAACATTTGTTGAGCTGCTGTTTCTGAAATCTGTATAGGGAATATAGCGTTAGCTTAGGTAACTTTGAGCGTAAAAAATAATTCTAAAAACTAAAGTCGGGTAATTTATCCAACAATTGTCGATTGGGAAAAGTTAGGTTCAAATAAGTATAGACAAGATTAAAGCAATAAATGTGAAAACTTTTTTCAGAGGAGCTCGCATAGTCACTAAAAAGCGTATTTTTGTCTAGCCTCCTGAAAATCGCATGGATTAGAATCAAATAATTCAAAAAAATTCACCCAATTTGAATGTTTCAATGGGGGTAAAAAAACTTCGTGGTACGGGAGATATTGGAGTGTAACTTTTTTTGTTCCAAAGGAAGAGGGAAAAGAATTGTTCAAACAGCTAAGCAGACATTTGGCAGATCAATTATTTGATGGATTAGATGAGATTAGACTTGAGCAGATACTTCTGAAAATGCGGCTTCTAAAATATGACATATGGAAGGTAAAATCAATTATCGCAAGAAGAGATAAAATGCCTTTTACAAGCAAAACAAGTAACCGTTTAATTTTGAAATGAACGAAACTTAAAAAAAACACGAACCGCTGAGTCGCTAAGCTCACGAGAAAAGGCCACCACAACAGCTCTATGCAAAAAAAAACACTTCTTTTTCCAATAAAACAGTCTCTAATGTTTTTTAATTCAACAAGAGCCAATATTTACATTTTGCAGATTTTTCAACCAATAAACGTTTGTTTCCTTTCCTATGGAACAAAACAAGACTTTACTACTTAAAAACATATATAATAAATAACACTGCTCGAAGCAAAACCAGGCTCTGAATGTTCCGACTGTCTTTTAGGGGTTTGCGAAGCAAATTTAGCTTAAATCTTTGATATTCTTTTCAGGAAAATTAAAAATAAGAAAATTAGAAAGCTGTCTAAGGAAAAAACCGCAACGAGCGCAAATATTTCATATTTCATTTTTTTGTAACAAAAGTAAAATATCTTAGTGTAATTGAACTCAAGGGGTATTGATATCTTTAAGAAATTACAAAAGATTTCCCTCAAAGATTTAATTAAGAAGTCGAAAATGCGTTATTTTAATCTACTTAACAATTGCCCCCCCCCCCCTCCTTTGTTAGGGGGGGGGGGGGCAATTGTTAAGTAGATTAAAATAACGCATTTTCGACCAATCAGATTGCAGCAAAATTAGGATTCTTAATACAAAGCTCTAGCGCTAATTTACTGCTTTTATTAATAGGGGTGACAATTCTTAAGTAGACACCAAAGGGAGGGCAATTATTAAGTAGATCCAAATTATTTTTCGTTCATTCCGTCAAAATACTCTCTCACTTTCTTCGAAAACTTGAAAAAAAAACTATTAAACGGGTTTAATTTTTGTTTTAATTTGTTTTAATATTTGAAGTAAAATTATGTTCACTTTTTGTTGTAAGCAAATATGCTGTACTTTTTGAGTTAAAATTAGTTCGAGTTGTGAAGTACAATAATTTAGAAAAACTTTCTTTTACAACTATAGCAAAAGGAAACAAGATTCTTCTTTAATTTTTCGAAGGAATTTTTAATTTCGTTGCCAAAATAGCTCGAAACGGCATGCACCTTCATAGCTGAACACCCGGGTAGCCGAAACTTAGTTTTGCTCTCGGATAGGGAAACGTTAGCTCAATTCTGAGACCATTAATTAACCTTAGATTTGGCACGAGAGGCATGGTAAGTGTTTGTGTCTTGTAATTAATGGCCTCAGAATTGAGCTAATTTTTCAACCCTCCGAGTATTCGGCTTTCTATCACGCCACCGCGGAAGCTAATTTAATATTTCTAATCACTCTGCAAAAACTCTTCTCTAATCTCATTTCATGCCAAGCTTAAGCTGAAGTAAATGAAAACTTCAAATTACTTACTTTTCGCGCACTTCAAGTGTTTCCGCTTCTCTGTTTCCTTGATTTCAATGCATATTTCAACGTAGTTGGCGTAGTTGGAGCTTTTTTCTAACTGAAAAAGAGTTATTACTCTCAATAGCCAATGTTCCAAAATAGAATTGATAGATCCGATCGCTTTAACTACCTCCCCCCCCCCCCCCCCTCACCTTTCCCCTTTAGTGCATAGAAAAGCAGAAACTTTTTTGTCATATCAAAAGTTTTTCAAAAGATCAGTTTTTATAATATTAGGCTGGATCGGAAAATATATTGCAATTTTCACCGACATTTTCAATATTATGTTCCCTAGGTAAAAAAGCTTAGTTTGTTGCGGAGACAATATCGTAAATGTCGCTTCTAAAAGTAGGTCAGCTCGTTGGGTTTTTGAATAATTCTTTCCCTCTGATAACCAAAAATAAGTTTGATCTCCAAAAATAAGCAATCTCCAACAATCAGTTTAATCGGCTTTTTATCTAACTTTTGTAGTTCTATGGTAATAAAAAACTATCCAAAAACTGCCCAGTACAACGTATATTCGGTTTGGTAAATTTAAAAACAATTCGACACAAGTTTGGCCTTTTCTGAAAACCCAGCACAACCTCAAGAAAACTGTTGACCCACCATTTACAGAGTACTTATTAGCTTTAAGAAATTATACTTTTTATAGCTAATATGTTTTTCTAAAACTAAATTTTTCCAAAAACAACAATTTTTCTAAATAGTGGTTTCTAATAAGAAAGGAGGGGGGAGATTGTTAAGTAGATTAGATCACAATGGTCAATTTTTCGACCAATCAGAATGCAGCAAAACTAGAATTCTCAATACAAGCTCTAGTGCTAATGTAGTGTATTTATTTATAGGGTTGGAGATTCTTAAGTAGGTACCATAGGGGATAGATTGTTAAGTAGACCCACTGTCTGTTCGAAAACACCCTACCGCGCCTCAATTCAATCTTTTCTGTTTTTGATTCTATTTTTATAGCATCTACCATACGCGTTATTGGAAACCTGGTCACTTCCGCGAGCGCAGTTTTATCCAATCAGCCATTTCTGAAAACTCTAAAAACAATTGTTGTGCATTATAATCAGATTACTGAACCGTTCTCGCACTCAGTAAAAAGATAAAAAAAATTGATTATAATGGATTTTTATGGTCAGTTTCCATAAATTTCAAAAAGAATTGATTATAATCAATTAAAAATAGATTATATTGTTACCATTTTTCGAAAAAATAAAAATTATTATAATCGATTATAATCGATTAGTTTCGAATTTTTTTCTCAAATTTTATTGAATTATAATCCATTAAAATGGATTAGAGTCCAATATTATTCAACAACCGCCATCGCTTCATTTCGTACTATTTTTGTTTTGTTTTATGTGCTTTTCAGTTGGTTATCGAACTGAAAGAAACTGTAATTTTGTACTTATAGCTTAAAATTAAGTTACTTTTGGTTTTTACTGTGCAGAATAGCTAAATTATATTCCATTGTAAACGATTTTTTTTTTTGAGATAATATTTTGATAGAAAAATGAATTATAATTTATTATAAGAGATTATACGAGATTTTCGGAAAATTTTTTATCAAATATAAATGATTATAATCTATTAAAATGTCACCGAAAATGATATCATTATAATGGATTATAAATCGTTTAAACATGGAAAAGTGTTTGCTAAAAATACTATTATATTTTTAATATGATCGATTATTTTCGCTTCTTACCGAATGCGGGTTGTCTTCATTTGTTTCTTTGATTTAAGTTATAAAGTGAAAAAGAGAGGTATACAACCCAGTTAGGCAAAAGTAGACGACCTCAATTTCGTGTTTGTAATTAAAAATGCTCTCGTTTAATTTTAGGTTTTAGTACCTTCTGCGAATAATTTGTAAATTTTCTTATTTGTAGAAGTTTAAGATACTTGGTTTTTAGATACTTGGTTAAATGTAAACTACTTTTGGCGAAACACAAAACTGGTTGCTGATTATGATGATTTTTTGAGTTTTGAAAAACAGTCAATAGTCATCCCCTAGTACTCTCAAGGTTAAATAAATTGGCCATGAAAAATGCTTTATTGATTAAATCTGTTGCTGATATGAACTTTTTGAAAAACAATTTTCTTTTTTTCCACTTTCTTCATTCAAAAATTAAAATTGTCCCGACATTTGTAACGAAAGTAACGGATTATTTGAGCTCGGGTGGGTTTTTTTCTTCAGACAAATTTCGAATTTTTAACTAGCCATTTTTGACAGAAATTTTTTAAATCATTCAAAACGTTTTGTTGTTCTGAGCTTAGGTTTGAAAAGACATTTCACCTGTGATCAGTTTTCGTACAGGGTACTGGGTTTAAAAATGGCCATTTTGGCCAATTTGGGACAATTAACGCACGATATACTTCGCGCTATTAACGCGTGATTGGACGTTTAATCCGTCTTAGAAATCGTTCCAATTGGTTGCAGGAAGCTTATTTGCCAAAATAGATTTGTTACTCTTAGCGAAAGCTATCACTCTGAGCTTTATATGGCGTGGGGGGGGGGGGGTGATTTTCATAAAAAAGCTCAAATTTAAAAAAAAATCATTGTATTTGTTACTTACATTTAAATTTTGCAAGTTATTACTGCTCAATAGACCTTAAAAGGCAGTCGGAACAATCAAGACTTCACCCTTATATGCGCAGTCTCGTTTTCTTAAATATTTAAAGTGGGTTTTTCAAGCTATTTTCACAAATACTATGAAACGTGATCTTATAAGTACCACGAAAAAAATGCACAACAAATTGTTGGTTCATCATGCCAAAATTCATTGCATCAAAGGACGCTTTATGGTTATTTAAAACTCATTTTCAAATCATAGGAGAAGTAGAATAGAACCCAATTTATTCTTAAGAATCTGCCAAATGGACAGCTTCCTAAAAAATTCAATCGGCTAAACATGTCTGTGGAACATTTTCCAAAGGGTCATTGGAAGTTTTTGAAGAAAAATTTACCCGAGCTAACACATCCAGTGTTTTTCTTACAACAGGTAACAAAAACCTATGAGTCTTTTTTTTATATACTGTCGCAATTTCGTTGATTGAAAACCTCATAATAGCGTCGTTCCCAATCTATAATCAGAATTTTCATCTCTTGGCAGCTAAAGAAGGCGAGCATTATATGTCAGGTTTCGATATCTGTTTCACCCATCTGGCTTAACTGTGCTCAGGGTGTTTGTTTTCTCCATATAAAATTCGACTTTTCAAGTAGCAAAATTTTAAATTTTTATTATCAATCAAAGAAAGCAACGGATTGTTTTTACTCGAGGTGGTTTTTTTTTCCAGTTTTCAGACAAATTTCGACTTTTTAACTAACCATTTTTGACGGAACTTTATATATCATTCAAAAGGTATTGCTGTCCTAAACTTAATATCGAAAATATATTTTAGCTGTGATCTGTTTTTGTAAAGTTATGGGGGACAAAATTTGACAATTTGGCCAATATGGGACACTTAAAGCGCAATTTCATAAGTTCGCTTGTACTGAGTAAACAGGCCTTATGCTTTGTAAAGGATTGGAAAGGATGACGAATAGCCTAAAAGTCAATTAAATCTTCAGTAGTTAATCATAAAAAAGTGTAAAATCTCATTGGATACCGAGTAACAATACTCATCATCAGGAGATATCTGAAAAACGAAATAACACTGTAAAACGAGCAATAAAATTACAC